GGCGTACGGGGAGGAGGGGTAGCCCTCGAGCATCCCCTTCCTCCCCCCCCCAAAACAAACAACCCCCCTCACCACGCCAAATTGATGCTCCGGGGCTGAGCGGTCCATGCCGGAGTTGCTCGCCGCGTGTCCCGTCCCCATGCATGCTGCAGTGGGGTGCGTGCAGAAACGCACCGCGGCGTGGGCGCACAAATGCGTGCACCGCCGGGCACGTGCAGAAGCGCTTGCAGGCAGAAGCGCTTACACGGCGGGGCACGTGACATGCCTGCAGCATAGGGTGCACGCAGAAATGCTTGCGGCGCGAGGTGCGTACGGCAATGCTCACAGCATGCCATGCACGCAAACACTGCTTGCACCGTGGGGTTCATGCAGAAACGCCTGCACTGCCGGGCACGTGCAGCAAATGTTGAACCGCAGGGTGCATGCAGAAACGCCTGCACTGCCGGGCACTTGCAGCAATGCTTGCACTGTGGAGCGCATGCAGAAACGCCTGCACTGCCAGGCAAGTGCAGCGATGCTTCCACTGTGAGTACATGCAGAAACGCCTGCACCGCTGGGCACGTGCAGCAATGCTTGCACCACATGGCGCATGCAAAAATGCACCCTTCGCCCCGTAAAAGTGCATGCACAAGTGGAAACCACATCGCCTGGGCCCAGAGGACGCCCTCACCCCACGTTTCACCCCTCAGCATCGGGGGGTTCAAACCAACGCACGCAATTCAGCATGAGAAAACCCTAAAGCATCCCATCTGCCCCCAAAATGCTGCAAGCCCCCAGGGCCGGATGCCGTTAACCCCAGGGCGAACAAGCCCCGGATTGACGGAGGGCGACCGCAGCGCCCGGAGCAGCAAGAAAGGCTTTAAACAAGCCCGAAAGTCATGGGACCTATTGGTATGCAGAGCCCGTCCTCCTTCCCTGCAGAAAGAAAAAAACTAGGGTCCGGGTTTAACGGCGCTTTTTCACTCAGGGGAACGGGTCGTTCAAAAAAAAAAAGGAAAAAAAAAGTCGGGTGCTTTCGCAGGAAAAGGGGCACATTTGGGGCTTGGCCCCTCGCGGCATTTTGTGAAACGGGTGCTCGCGGGCGCTGCGATTTTTATTTATTTTTGCAAAATTTAAAAATTTTTTTGCAATTTTTTTTTGCAATCCTTTTTTTGCATTTTTTTCCTTTGCTTTTTTTTTTTTTTTTTTTTTTTTTTTCTTTTTTTTCCCTTCCCCCCCCCGCCCCCCGGGCGCCCTTCCCCCCTGAATTCCCTTTCGCGCATGAATTCCCAACAATAACGGTGCGCAGAGCCCAAAACCCTTTGCGAACGTCCCGCTTGCTCTTTAACCGCTTCGGCCCGATTTCAGCCCGAGCTCCACCGCCTTTTATCCGCCTGGCCTTTCCCGAGACGGCCGAGGCCACGGAGGCGTTAAGCGCTCTGGGCCTCGCCGGCGTTATTCGCTGGCGACGTTTCCACCCTCCCGCCAGCTCGGAGCCGCGTTTTTCTCCTTTCGCGGGGTTAAAATCCCTATTCCCTTGCGGGAACCTCCCGAAAAAATCCAGGTCGGTGCTCCCGACCGCTCCAAATTTCTCTCTTAGCTTTCAGATTGATTTGCCCCCCCCAAATCCTCTTTTTGGCTGCTCGCTTCACCTCATCCAGCAAAATTCATCCCTGGATCCGTATCTCTTCCCCAAAGAGGCATCCGGCTCCTTAAATTCCCAGCTCCCCATCGGATAAACAGATGAATTAAGTAATAAACCCTCCAAAAATCCCTTTAGCTACCGGAGCCCTTTACATTTCCTCGCCGCACACACGGCTACAGGTGCCTCGCGGCCCACGTTGCGCCCGGAAAGCCGATCGCATCTTTAATGAGCTGCGGAGATTTTCCTATTTATGGGGGGAGAGACGCAGCCGGGAAAAAAGAGCCCGGGAAAAAGAAAGAAAGAAAAAAATCCAGGAATTTTTTTT